ACGTGGTCTAAAAAGAGCGAGCACACGCTAGTCCACTTACGACACTCGTCATTATCAAGAGCCAAATATGAGATCACTATTTGGAGTTACATTTCTAATATATTCTAAATAAATAAACTCGTGTCCAAAGGCCACCAACATAATCATCCAGGCCAATGGTTTCAATAGATAACAAAAATTTTAGGCCAGGAATTAGGCAACATAATTGTTTTCTTTTTGTTCTTGGGAGCGACGCTCTTCGTAAAAAGGTCAAGGTTCGTAAATTCAAGTAACAGCGATATGAAACTTGACATGCGTACTTCGATTGGTTTTGTAGTGCGATGCACTCCTCAGTTGAATTATACTTTTATGAACATAAAATATGTACTGCAGCACCGTGCCCTGCTCTCCACCACCATCGACAACTTAAGATAACCAGACCATCCTTTTAAATGCGAATTGATTTGAGCAAATTTAAAGGGACAGTTCCGCTGTTAAAAAATTTATTGGAAAATCGCTTGGTGTTTAATTAACAAATTAATACGCCGACTGCCGCATTAGGAGGGAAAATGCCTCTCACTGGAGAGAGAGAGGGAGAGAGAGAGCTGGGGTTTAACGTCCACTCGACACAAACTAGGTAATTTCGGGACTAACATATGGTTTTTAATTTCATTTCAATAATTCGCTTGCGCGTAGGGGTCTTTAGCAGTGGGAGGAAACCGGGGGACCCGGAGAAAACCCACGAGGCTGGAAGGCCCCCCTACTCCTTGTCACGTACAACCGGGTACTCGAAACCACGCCAGTTGACTCAATGACAGACCTTATGATACAGCGTGCACATGCTAACCATTCGCGCCCCCCTCCCCTGTAAATAAACAAACTGGCGCCACTGTTGGTGTTTTCCTGGTATGTCTTTTTGAATCTGGGTTAAAATTAAAATTGCAGATTTCATTGTTTTCGTTGAAAATTGTACGTCCTTTTGGTAGAGCCGATTGATTTTTTAATTTTCGACATGGTAAACTAGTAATGTAACCAATATTCGTAAATACACAGACTACCATTTAATCTTTTTAACATAATCTTAATCGAAATAAATCATAATGTCCTTCATAGAGCGAATAATGGATTACTACTGTAGTGTCACAGTACTTCATGTTCCCCTACTAATCCGTAGGTTACTTTCAATTCCTATGCTCTTACCGATCCGTAACTAATTGCCTGTAATTTGATTAGTAGAAGTAAAGATTTCAACGAGAACAGACGTCTTGTTATTTCTGCTCCTCTACTCGCCGCTGTCTCGGCTAGAATAGCTTGTATCTTTGTGGTGCCAACTAACCCGACATGCGCCTCTAGAATAACAGCGGCACGGCATCACACTACGAACGAAGACAAACGTAAGCTACACGGGAAAGAAAGGAAACAAACGGTGGTTGCTTATTTGATAATCCACAAACTAAAGTTGATTACCTAACCAATAATCTTAATCTCCTGAACCGTCAGGTGCTTCTGATCTTCTTATAGAGATATTCGACATAAACGTACTTTGTTTTCTGGAGTTCTAAACGATAATCGGTAAAATAGCCCTTGGCAGTTGAAATTCGATATAATACATGTTGTAGAGCGTAATGCCGCTGTCCGAGAAAAATTTCCCTCCTAGCACATTGTATGGCGTATGCCCGTCTTCATTATCCAAGTCGGAGCAGAACAGTAGGACATTAAACCCCAACCTATTTCATTTCATTCCGTTTGTTTTATTATATTAGGTTATTGTTCGTACTTTCTAGGTTGATTTGGAAACAGGGAGAAGTCTGACATATAAAGAATTAAAATTGCTGATTATAAAAGCGTCGAATGGTTTACAATCTTTAGGAGTAAAAGAAGGAGATGTTGTTTGTGTGTGTTCACCAAACAGTATTGATTATGCTGTGGTTTTCTTCGCACTGGTGTTGTTTGGTGCCATTATGCAAGCATCCAATCCACAATATACGAAAGGTGAGTCAAAAAACTAAATATACTCGAAATCCTTGGACAATTGTCTTTGAGGGCTGTGCCGATGAGTTTTTCTCTGGTGTTGAAATGTTAGTCTGCCAAATTTACAGCGTTTTCTTCACATTGCCACCCGATATTCGAAAAGATTTCATTCATTATTATCTATTTAACCACGTCAATACTGTGGTATGCTATTTGCCACTTTGACTCTATGGTATCTGATTTACCACGTAGACATTGTGCTATCTATTATACCATGTCGACACTGTGGTATGTAATAAATCATGAAAACACAGTGGTATCTAATTAACCACGTCGACACTGGTATCTAACCACGGCGACACTGTGTTATCTAATTAACCATGGTGACACCGTGTTATCTAATTAACCACGGTGACACTGTGTTATCAAATTAACCACGGCGACACTGTGTCATCTAATTAACCATGGCGACACTGTGTTATCAAATTAAACACGGCGACACTGTGGTGTTTAATTAAACACGGTGACACTGTGGTGTGTCTGATATTATTCTTAAGTTGCAGTATTCGTTGGATTAAATTTGAATTATTTACAGAAGAGTTAATAAACCAGTTTAAACAGTGTAATACACAGTGGGTTATAACAGTACCCAATCTCTTAAACACGATAAAAGAAAGTAGAATTAAATCTATTAAGGTAAGTTTCTATTAATTACTAAATGGTGTCGGTACAAACACATCATATACTTCGTGATGCGTTGTGAAGATTAACTTGTAACAAATAATGGACATTTTAAAATAGTCTTGTGGTTATATTTTTATTTGCTACTGTTGGCTGTTGTGTTTTACAGGATATTATTGTTATAGGCGGTGATTCAAACATTGATAATTGTATTTCACTGGAGAAAGTTATCTCCCTTGGTGAAGGCATTGGTTTGAAGAAGGCGACCTTTAACCCTAAGAAGACTGTAGCTTGTTACGTATTTTCTAGTGGAACAACTGGTTTGCCTAAAGCTGTTATGTTATCGCATTATAATATAGTCGCTAATATGATACAAATGAGGTTAGTGTTTAGTTAGAAATGGTTCCACTACTGATGTCTTCCGTCTTGCCCCAGCCACAGTAGTGGACCGTACTAAGGCCTTCCTTTGAGCAAGTTTTGTAGTCAATTGACTAAAAAACGTTAGTGACCCTTAACTCCATTAATGCCCATTAACACTGACCCCAAATTGTACTGTGCATAGATTAACATATATTATAAACCTATTACCATTGAAATAAAGGTGAAACCTTAAGCGGTGGACACACTAGCCGAATCAACCGGCGTCGAAATTCGCCTAGTGTGTCCACTGTCATTCGGCCGAATTTCTATTCGGCCAAATGATTCGCCCAAATCAAACAGGTTTGATATATTCGGCCGAATTATATTCGCCTGGTGTTTCCGCTTCGCCGAGGCATTCGGCCGAATGTAGAATTCATTAGCCAATCATCACTCATATCGAGAAGTCACGTGATAGTTTGAAGACATAGACACCGCGATGTTTAATCATGTGACGTGAAAGGCGATGTAATCGACTGGTGAATCGGGCGAAGCAGTCGGCAAGTGTGTCCACCCATTCGGCCGAATAAAATTTGGCGCCGATTCATAGGGCCGAATGATTCGGCTAATGTGTCCACTGCTTAATCGTATAATTATATGATTTGATTAAACCCAACTGCTATGCGAAATTTCTGTTCAGTTTAAAATGGCTGCCGAACCAGAATCACGCGGTGTCATGTCCCTCGAAAACTGTTCGGTGAGATAAGATTATGATTTCAGTGTTCCACTCTTCACTATTTGTAACATAATTACTTATTCCCATGCAAACTGTGAAGATATGTGTTGAAAATGTTGCAATTGAACCTAATTATATCAATTGCAGCCGTAGATAAGAATTATCACGGCTAAAAATTGCAGCTAGTATTCAGTATGGTACTTTTAATGAGATAATAAAGTTTACAAATAAAATAAAATCCCATACCCTCCTAAGCCACTCCCGTTGTGCCCTGTACCAGGTAATTTTAATACAGATAATTTACCTAAAAAAGGGCATCAGGTGTTAAAATATTTACCACACACAATAATCCCAACGAAAGGGTCAAAGCGCCAATCTCTGAAGAGGGGGTATTTATTTCCAGAAATGGCGTCATATTTTAGTCGTAAGGAGCACGTCACTTATGAGATTTCCAAAACAGTGGCAAGAGTTCAAAATATTGTGTATTTAAACAATGGATACAGAACATTAAACATCCTACCCGTCATTCTATGTGTTGTTTTAAAATTTAACCTTTTTATTGTTACAGGGCGATGAATTTACAACCGGGTGATGATATCCTAGAATTTCTACCATTTTATCATATCTATGGTTTAATCGCCGTCTTGTGTTGTGCTACGACATTTGGTGTTAAGCTAGTTATTATGTCCAAATTTAGACCAATACCATACTTTGCAGCTATTGAAAAATATCAGGTGCTTAGCAAATAAAATATCGGATACTTAGCAAATTACCTAGTGAATAAAATATTTAATATCAGGTGAAAACTTTTAACAATACAATTGAGCAAATGTAGTGTTAATGAAGCAGTATGCGAGAGCCAAACCTGCCCATTGCCTGGAGTTCTTCTGGCTTCAGATGTTATATAAATTAATATGTAATTATTTATTCACACGGCAAGACCATAAAAACCATTAGATGGTTTGGATATTGAGTGGATTCGTAAATTTAAACATTTATTTCCAAAATAATACCTAAAATGCAATGAAATTGAAACATTTTATTATTATTATTATTATTATTATTACATGAATTTATATAGCGCTCCTTTCATGATAAACATGTTCAGATGCGCTTTACAATAAAAATACCATAACACAATGGATAAAAATCACAATATCAATATTGAATATAGATAGGGTTTTAAAAATATGTAGTTCGTGTAAAAATAGAAATATAGAAATCAACATATAAATAAAAACAGTACTTATAAAAAAACCATATCCTTTTAAGCCTGTCCCCTTACTCTGTGTTTGACTCGTGTTTTTTTCGTAATACACTTAACGATTTCCCAGTGATTTTATTAATGCATCCGAACAATAATCATTTTTATTATTCAGAACTCAATAACATTATTATGGCCACAATTTGTATCTCTCCAATTACTCTTAGGGGGTTGGGTGGCTGAATGGTTAGCACGTGCGCGCTGTACCATAAAGTCTGTCATTGAGTCAACTGTCGTGGTTTCGATTCCCCAGTTCTAAGTGACAAGGAGTAGGGTCGCCTGTCCAACCTCGTGGGTTTTCTCCGGGCACTCCGGTTCCCTCCCACTGCTAAAGACCCCTACGCGCAAGCGATTTATGGAAATAAAATTGAACCATATGTTAGTCCCGAAATGACCTAGTCTGTGTCGAGTGGACGTTAAACCCCATTTCTCTCTCTCTCCCAATTACGCTTGATTAACAGGTCTCTAAATTTAACCCGACCCGAATATCCCACATCCATCAGTGGTGTAATATGAGTTATATTCAGCTGTTTATTTATTTGTTTGTTTCAGATCAAACTCATACATGTTGTGCCACCGGTTATGGTGTTAGTAGCTAAATCACCAGAAGTTAAAAAGTATGACCTGACGTGTGTTAGAAAGGTCATGTGTGGAGCTGCCCCTTTAAGTAAAGATATAGAGTTGAAGGTCAGAGATATATTACAGATTGACTTCATATCTCAAGGTAAGGTCGCTTGCTGTGACTGGGAGCGGACATCAAACGTAATAGCTCTACTGTGAATTACCAATCTCGATCATTTAAATAAATGAAATGATATGAAATTGGGTTTAACGTTCTACTGTTCTCCTCTGACTAGGCTAATGGAGATAGGCATTCGTCATACTGTGTGTTATGGTGGCAATTTTGCCAGGACATAGAGCTATGACCTACTGTTATATCGCATTCCAACTGCCCAAGGAAGCTTTTACGTTCGCGCCAATGTATCCACGGGATACCGGTTTTTCGTCCCTTCCGAAAAACTATACGTTGTCCCTTGTCAGTGGGGCACGCCGGAAAATCCCGATGAACTTTCTCGGCCAAGGCAGGATTAAACACAGTATCTCCATGTTAACGAGCCAACGTCTTACTCACTGAGCCACCCAGCTCCTATTTAGATAAACACCCCGTAGTATCGAGACTTATTTTCCAAGTTACGAATCGAGCAGAGTTACCTCCCTTTTCACACGATTTCAAATTGAGCCCATTGATATGAACTGAAACTCGAGATTCTCTCTCCATTGACTTCAAAATGAAATGAAATAGGTTTTAACGTCCTACTTTTCTGTACCACCCGGGTTAATGAAGACGGGCACACACCTTGCAATGTGTTATGAAATTTTGCTCGATTAGCAGTGCTACATCCAAGTCTTTATTTTAAATTTCAATTGTTATCGAAGTTGGCGTACCAAGGACCTCGGTCTATCCGAACAACTTGGCACTGTTCCTTGGCAGGCCAACCGTCCTTCACTACAGACAAAGGGAAACCAACCGTTCTAGACAACCCGAGGAATTGTCTCGGCCAACACCGGGATCAAACCCAGGATATCCTTCTGGTTCGCCAGTAAGCGCCCACAATAGGTCATCATTAACTTCAGTGTTAAATCCATGCGCTTACTTCCCCAAATTCACGTCTGTTTACTTCCATATCCTTCTGCCTCAAAGTTCTTAATAGTAACCAAAATCTGGCAAAATTACGTACACCCAAACTCATCTTCGATTATAGACCAAAACAATTCAACGACAATTGCCATGCAAAAGGTGGGTAAGGGGGTGGGGGCTATATCTAAACACACTTCTATATCTAAACACACATCTTCGCTTCTAGACCAAAACAATTCAACGACAATGGCCATGCAAAAAGTGGGTAAGGGGGTGGGTGGGGGCTATATCTAAACACACTACATTCGACAATCCTGAAATAAGGAGAAACAATTAGGTTATTTATTGGTGATTTTCAGGTTCAGGCTCGATGAGTATTAAATGTATAATTTTTTTATTACAGCCTATGGATTGTCCGAGTGTTTAAATACAAATATAAATACAGAAACACATCACAGAGAAGGTTCTGTAGGCAGAAATTTTGCAGGCATACAGACAAAGGTATTAGGGTACTACTGTATTTATCGAGGTTTAAGACAATATTCCAGACTAAAAGGCAAATAAAGACTCCAAGACTCTACACCTACCGTAGTCTTACCTAAATAATTATATTCGATTAATCCTATCTTGAGTATGACAATCAATTTGTGTTTTTATCTATACCGCCGCCATCTTTATTGTTTTAAAATCATTTTTCACCTATTGCTATGAACTTAATTTTGCTATATTTAAATAGGTATATTTCTTAATATATGTGAATAAAAAAAAGGCGTCCACTTTGTTTAACGGCCCCGGGATGCACCCTTTAGTTGCTGGCTAATGGGCTTCGGTGGCCGAATGCTTAACGCGTCCGCATTGGATCACAAGGTCTGTCATTGAGTCAAGTAGCGTTTTTTGATTGCCCGCTTGTACAACCTCGTTGAATTGAACCATGTTAGTCCTGAAATGACCTAGTTTGTGTCGAGTGGACGTTAAACCCCATTTCTCTCTATATAGATTGTCTATATTATATTTTTTTCTTCAGATCATTGATACAGATACTGGTAAAACTCTTGGTGTAAACGAAGATGGCGAAGTTTATATCCGAGGACATCAAGTTATGCTGGGATATTTGAACGAACCGGAAGCAACATCGGCCATGATTGGTCGTGATGGATGGGTTAAAACGGGTTAGAACTGCATGTACATAGCAAGACCCATTTTATAGGACTAATTAAAACTCATGACCATATATTAACGTTGCCCGTGTCATCCGGGACCCACCCTCCATCTCGCCCACAATTCCTTATTAATGACCGAGAGAGCGCAATTTTATCCATGAGCATTTAAAGATATGTAGTTGGGGGTAGGAATGTGTGTCTTAGTTGTATTCTAAACATCGTACTGTACATTGCGAAGGAAATTCAACATTCTTCGATATAATATTTTAGAGAAATGCTCACATTTCTACCCTCTTGAATTGTGTGTAAACGTGCGTACAATACAGCTTAATACACGCGATTGAAGACGAGTTTGGTATGCCCACATCGAATCTAGTCTCCTTTATTCATACTCAAGATGTTTCATAGCAGACCTGAAAATTGTGTTGGTATTTGTCGTCTTGAAGTTATAGCAGTCGGAAAACCTCAGCAGATTCCAGTACCCTACATCTAGCCTCGGATGTATGACGAAGTCCGCCATTGGAACTACTTTCAAGTTCCCGGATTACTAATGGCGTTGCCCATGATGACGCCTTTAAAGAGTTTTATCATACAAATATTTCAAAGTCTGAAGCTATTTTTCTTTCAAGTTTATCCGATTTTCTTCAAACAAGGACAACTTTGCACTGAAAATTCTACACACGCTTCGAACGACGCAATTATGATTAACTTCTGTTTAAATCGGCAAGTTTTCCGAATAAGTAAACCGGTGCCGCATCGCAATTGTATAGGCGTAAGTGCATATCACTTACCGTCATACAGCCGAGGCTAGATGTAGAGTAACGGAATCTGCCGAGGTTTGCCGAGTGGAAGTTATAGATATGGGAGGGGCGTTGCCTGACAATCTATGATTATTATTGCCCATCACCATAAGAATATATTTTCTATGATTTTAACCAAAAAATAACCAAACTATAAGCTGTTAACAGGTAGCCCTACGCTTCATAACTCCACCCAACCCCCTGAAAAAAGACAATTAAATAGGCAATTAACTATATAACAGTGGGATTATATCTGGGAAGCCATCACATACGGCCATAAATGTAATATGACCGACATTCTGTTGAATATTTATCACATACTAAAAAAGACTGTTTTAGTTGATTTACTTGTCGAGTTGATTATGACCAAGGCGATAATGTTGCCGTGGACGTATATTACCTTATTTGGCAAGCTACTTTTGTATTTTACAGGTGATGTAGGTCATCTAGACGAAGATGGTTTTCTGTATATAGTTGACAGATTTAAGGAATTGATTAAATATAAAGGTCACCAGGTGGCGCCAGCAGAATTAGAGGCTTTACTACTAAAACACCCCGCTATTGCTGACGTAGGTGTTATTGGTGTACCAGATGACGAGGCTGGAGAACTCCCGAAAGCCTTTGTGGTTCTTAAAAATCATTCAAAAGTAACTTCTAGTGATATTCATAATTATGTCCAAGGTATGGATAATATTAAACGCCCACATTTTTCTTTCCTGATATATATCACCATCAAAGTATTTGGACGGTGATAAGAATTAATATATCATTGATGGCATCACTGATCATCGCCGCTGTCGGTCCAACCCTTACTATCAGCCCATTCAGTGTCTAGTTGTACCGATGGTACGGAAACCAAAGTCTCGTGTACACACTGGCGTGTACGAAAAAGGACTCTTGATAGTTGAAAATTGCCCATGGTGTATATCCGTCGGTGCAGAAAAGTAGAAAATGAAATCAAATGGGTTTAACGTCCTATTGTTATGCTCCGACTGGGCTAATGAAGACGGGCATACGCCATACCGTGTGCTATGACGGACAATTTTCCCCGGACAGCGGCGCTAGTCTCTTATATCGAATTCCAACTATCAAAGGATCTTTTACGTGCACCCTGGACCTCGTCGGGCCCTGCGTCCTTCACCACTGACAAGGGGAACCACGCGGGAAAATCGCGATGAACTTTCTCGTCCAACACCGGGAGCGAACCTGCTACCTTCAGACTACCGAGCCAGCGTTTTACCAAATTAGCCAGAAAAATACGACGTTAAGCCCCATTTCATTTGTAATCACACAAGAAAATTTGTTTTGAAATTTGTTAAACTCCTATTCGTCTACTCACAGGGATAGCCGCGATAGCATCATTTATTCTCATTTCGTATTACCCCTAAACCCTGTAATCGCTCAATAGGCCAGTGTTTACAAGCATTTTCTAGAACTCGTCAAAATTATAAACCATACTGAAAGTCAAAGTCATTGATTATTTATGGAACTGTAGGCAACACTTGTAATCTTTCAGATACTTTGTGAAATTTACTCAGCTGGGATTCTATAGAAATTCATTTCAAAACATTAAAATGGCGGCACCATTTATAAAGTGAGATGAAATGAAAATGAAATGAAAAATGGAGTTTAACGTCCTACCGTTCTGCTCCGACTGAGCTATTATGACGGGCATACGCTAGTGTGCTATGAAGGAAATTTTGCCAAGGCAGTGGTACGAATTCCAACTGCCAATGGATCTTTTGCGTGCACGCAAACCTCGGTTTTTCATCCCATCTGAACGATTAGACAGCTGTCTAAAATCCTGATGAACTTTCTCGAACATGCGACCTCCAGGCTAGCGAGCCAGCGCCTTACCGACTTAGCCACCGTGGCTTAAACTATCTATAAACAATAGGGACGACTGAGCTGCTGTCAGACAATTGTATTATTATCTTGTTCTTTTCTAGAAAATGCAGCATTTTACAAGAGACTTAGAGGTGGTATTGAGTTTCTAGAAGAAATTCCCAAGAGTGCTAGTGGAAAGATTTTAAGACGTGTTTTACGGAATAGAACAATACGTAGCAAATAATGATTTAATAAGTTTGTTAAATTAAAATACACATATTATCCTTTATTAGTCCGGGAGCTGGGTGGGATTTGTTCAACATGGAAGGTAAGGAAGATTTGGGATGCTAGTGGAGACCCTAGAAAACCAATTCTTAAGTTGCACTTTAACATGGAAGGTGCATGTTTCACTCCAATCGCATTTGATAGACAGAGTTCAAGAGGAAACTTAGCATTCCGGACATACTGTACCGCTTGTCATTCATTTTGTATCATCATTGGTCACATCTTCTGTTCCTAAGTTCATTAACCACCACAATAGTCATACTTATGTTAGCTGTTGTGAATCGTATGATCATTCCCTACATTCCACACCTTGTTCCAATGTCGCACCTTTCATGTTAATTAAATTTCTAATAAGCGGTCATTCGGTGCAAACCATCATTATTCTCTTCTTAAGTACACTGGCCACCAGAAATTTCATACATAAGTTGATGATAATGATTTCTGATATCATTTCGTACAATATAGGCTTGGTTTCACACCCACACCTTTCATTTTTTGATTAAATTTTAATTACCCATGGGGTTAGTTTTGAGATTATGTCATACCTATAGCTAAAACTTCATATTTTTGCTCCTAAAAACACGAGATAACGGAAAAATAGTTCTAAGCAAAATCGAAAAAATGCTATTTAGCGACCTTTGACTTCTTGTGACAATATTGGGTCTTTAAATCAGGTTCTGGATGACAAGACTGGTTTAATATCTTACAATACTTTTATTCTGCTTCTTATATATCACGTACAAACATCGTAATGTTAAAGACACCCAGAACTAACTTGTATTGAGGGAGCCATGTCCTAGCTTGGCTAGGCACGAGTGTGCCAACTCCCAGACCCTCTCCCTCGTTCCGTTTCCGATCGTGCCCATGGCCTTCTTCTTATGTGACCTTTCCATCAAAAATCACATTCTTAAGTTCTATTTCCTAATTCTGGGCACATTCCTCTATCAAATGCGATTGACGTGTAACTTGCACCTTCCATGTTAAATAAACCAAGTTTGGGGGTACTATGGGAGTCTCCCTCAACCAGACCCACCACTGGCGCAACTAATAATTATAAGAGATTAACGATTGGGTGGATTTATTTAATCCCTATTAATGTGTGTTTTTTTTTTATCGGTGTATGGTTTCCTTCCCCTAGTTTTCGATTTCTTGCCTGTGCGGTAACCCTTTCCATCTTGTAGTTATGGTTTCACCTGCTAATTAGTGTTTAATTGTTATCTATATATTGCTATATCTTATCTCGTTAATCTCTTATAATTATTAGTTTGATCTGCTAAATTCAAATAATGTCTAATTGTTATCAATACATTACAGTATTTCATCTTGTTAATCCTTTGTAATTGTTTATCCATATTATTACTTCTCTCATCTTGTTAATTCTTAATTATTGATTAATCTGTTACATTGTTTCCAATTGTTAACTATATATTGCACCACATTTTTGTTATATATCATTATTTGCTTGATAACGATATCTGTATCGAAACGTAGCATGTTAATAAATTCAGAAGTAGTATTTCATAGAAGTGTTTTTAATTTGTGAAATCTACCTCTATATGTCTTCTAAGGGTTATAACATCTATATCATTTTTAATCGTCATCCCTCACATTATTCACTATATTATGTTTACTAACATCTACATCATTTTAATCATCAATCCTTATATAGTCGTAGGAAATATCATAAATCAAAATTGTGAAATCCTATTTTGACGTTAATGATGACATCAGCATAAAATTTTTCAAAAAACTCTCTCGACTGATAGAAATTGCAGTGCAGTCCTAAATGGTCCCATTTCTTGTAAAGTCTTGATAGCCTTTCACATGTCCCAAATAGTTTTTATCTTTTTCATATCCGTGCTGTTCTTGTTGTTGCACAACCGGTGAAACGTTCTTGTAGGCGACACCTTAACATTCGCTGCATGAGTCAGTACAGTCTAAGGTTGCCTCACATTCACCTTTACAGCCATTGTGGAAGATTTGTAGGATTGCCTCTGGAGTTGGTGCAGAGTCCATTGTTTTCGGTTCTAATTTGTTTTTCGTTAGTGTCACATCAAAACGCTTCTGGGCCGAATGCACAGCCCTACCCCCCACCTCCATCCACAACTGTACTTGGCAGTACACGCGGATACAGTGATACTTTGTTGCAACATCTGCAGTCGGCGACAAGTTTTGAACCTGGGCACAGGGTAAGCTTTTCAACACATTTTCCTTAAACTTTCTCATCCGTAACTTCTCTAGTGATTCATTTGTACGGCCACAATAAAACACAACAGGGCCATTTCTCCTGTAGAATTAATATCGTCATGTGTAGAGTGTTTGCGGAAGTTCGAGTCCTCTTGGATCTTTTTGAAAGGGGCACTTTTGTAAACAATCTGGACGTGTTACACCCAGCTATGGCCTGTACAAATGTACAAAAGGAAGGTATCGTGTGACCTCACTGACCAAATTGATCTTCCAACAACTAATCTGTAAGTGTGTCCGACCTTGTGAATTTTTACAGCAGAATAAAATTATCTGGGAAATAGACGAATCTCCATCATCAAGTCGCATTATCCTCATTTTTTGGCGTTCAACATTCGCCGTTTTAGGAGAATCACAGACACAGGGCTCCCTTTTTCAAAAGAAATCTGTAGATTGAGCCCCCATCCGAAACATGATATATAGTTTGGAATACTAGTATACACCTTACGTTCATCAATTAGCAGGAAAGTTAGCACATCTAAACGTTGCGACTGATCTCCCGCATTAAATCATGTTTGTTAAACAATGATGTTGGCAGGGGAGACAGCTCATATCGCAGTAGCTCGTCCACATCAAAATCATAACTATTGGCAACGATTAAAAGGCGCTGGAAGAGGACCTGTAGATCCATTGACAATGGTTGACCACCGATATATACTGTCCTCGATTCTATTTGGTCTTTTTTTCAGTGCATTGTGTTCTTCCATTTTTGCTAATATTTTCATCCGAACCTGATTTGCTTTATGTGCATTACAGATAGGTCTATCTATTATTCTTGTAGCGATGCTGTCTGTATAGCTCCTCTCCGTCCTGAATAACGAACAAACCAGAGAGGAACTTATTGTACACATCAGCTTTTGTATACTCTAGCTCTAACAAATCCTGGAGGTGTATATAAGCAGACTTTGCATACACTCGGTGTCTGGCTGCAGCAAAACATGGCAACATTTCTTTGAGAGACCCCAAGTAAAGTTTGAAATTGCCTGTTCTCAGGGCTCTCAGAATTATTTTCAGCAATTCAACCATCCTCATACACCCAGTAGGACTGCTAGCTATTTTAGATGCTCCGTCCTCCAACGTCGCATTAATTCTATCAAACACATCTGAATAACCCGTTTCAACTTAAACCTTATCATTTCGAAGACTGTCAAAAATTCAAGGGCTTCTTTAATGTATTCTGCCTTCATTCAATCATTGTCTCTACATCACTCATGTCATCCTCTACCATAAGACGTAAGTCAAACATTATTGCATTCAGCACAGCATCGACCACCCCACCCCCACAGCCACTCAGCATATGGGTGACAGATTTATCGGCATATACTAGTTCAAACAGTTCCTTCAAGTCTGATGGACTCAAAATGTTATCGATGCATCCAAGAAAGCTCAGTGTGGCGTGAGAACTTCCCAGGAAAAGAACTAATAGCTTCAATGCACTGTTTTCGCCTTCATGCAAAATGATTGTTCTTGATTTCCACCACAGTGGTTTTGAATTGGGAGTCCCATGTCGCCGGTTTTCGTGTGGGGAAAAATCCAACTCGCGTTCGTTGGATCATTGTCAATCATGGGGTGTGGTTTGGTTACTGATACTTTACCAGAATGGTTTCCATGACAGATAGCCTACAATGTTCCTGACCACCCCAGGTCTCTTCTGTCGAAGGGGTCACGAAATTTTCCACATTATACGAGATAGAGAAAAATAGGGTTTAACATACATTTGACACAAACCAAGCCTCTCCGGGACCAAGACATGGTTCAATTTTATTTCAGGAATTCGCTTGTGCACAGTGGTCTTTAGCAGTTGGACGGACCCGGAGAAACCCCACCAGGATGGACAGGCAAAACCACGCCAGTTGACTCAATCACAGACCTTATGATACAGCGCGCACACGCTAACCATTCACCCCTTTATTGTTTGTAATAACTATCTCAATCAGTCTCGACCCAAGATATAACTTTACTCTGGTAAAACTTGCCGGCCATTTATCAGTGTCAGATTGGTTCCTAAGCTCTGCCCCCCTGTGGCTTCTGATTGGCCCGATTTGTTTGAATGAAATGCTGCCGATTTCTTGACAATTAGGCATCGGTTTGTTGATGAGTTACATATTAATGATCCTTGGAACAATTTCCATATCTTGACATCAAAGTTCATTCGAAAACAGCCGAGTTGATAAACTTTTTTAGCGCGTGATATCAGTAATTCGGCTAACTACGTCAAATTTCTGAAGAAACGCGAGCACTGATCTGTCTTGGATCTTTGTGAAACGACCGGCGGAAGGATATATCACGTGATATTCAAAATGGTCGGCGAGTTTTACCAGAATATGACACATAGTCCGTGACTTGATAAACTGTCAATTAGAAACCGTGATCCAAACTGGTAGTACATCTGCACAGCAAAACCGAAGGGAAGAGTGGCGATTACAACTCTTGGTCTTGCCATTTGCATCATGTACTTACCAAGCAAACTTTATGTCCTTTTATTTTCCAGTAAACAGCTGATCATCCAAAAAATGCGGAGAGTGTCGGGAAGATAATCCAAATTTTGTCCCAAAAAACGTATCTGATTCGGATCCGGGTAGAAGTCATTTAGTATTTCGAGACGCTTGATATCAGTTTCGATCAGCTCTGCTGCAATTCTTATAATCCTGAACTTCTTAGAATCATCATCCAATATTGACGCATCATAAAAATCCTGAAGTATCTTGGCAGCAGTAGACCGAAACGTAACAATACCGGGGCGGCGATTTATATTTGATATCGAGATGCTATCACCTAAACATGACTCAAGTTTTTGCACATGTATTTTACTCTGTATGGTGTGGCAAAGCTAGTTTCATTTTGTGAGTATTGGTTTATTCAAAGTCGCTAGACGCCTAAATAGTCGAGACTAATAACAACTATATTTAGATATAGGTCACTGTAGCTATACATAGTGAAGGGCTGGATATTTGATAACTGTATGGATAGTATAATGTTGACAGACTCTTACGTTTTATAATACTATTGCTGTCTGCCATATATTAGGTGGTACATGAGGTCACTAATTCGTCTTTATTTTTCAATGTCGCGTCAAAATATCGAGCCCGTCAGCGGCGTCAGGTATATTGAAGTGCACCATTCTTTATTAAGGCGACTTGTTTTCATTATCCCGTTTAGTGCTGAGAAGTAGGACGCTAAACTTAATTTAATACATTCATTATTCAGACAACCTTAACAATTGTAATATATATAACACGATGTATATATGTGTAAACGCTCCACATTCCACATTCTCAGTTAACCAAGTTAATCTTTTAAATGAATAAACCTCTTGAGTCAAAAAAATAAAATTGTATACATATTGGATGTATTGGATATTGTATACATATATTTGTTTAGGAGAAAACATTGAAAATTGCACGCCTGTTGGTCAATCCAAATTTGCGATATAACCGTTTTTGAGTACGACTTTTAACACATTAAATGAAACTAAAACTAGTAAACATGCGGACTCACATTTAATCTTTTCAAATAAAATGTTTAATTTTTTTACACCTTACGTTTCGTACATTTTGTTGGTTTTTTTGCCCGAATGGTATACTATAAATCTTAAGAGATTGCTTCGAAACATATTTTAACAGACGAAAAGTTAAAACGGCAACCAAATAATCTGTCACTGATGCCATGTCATGTAACGGCCGAGTAAACATAACACTGCAGATCTACCCCTGAAATTTTTTTAAGCGACCCAGAATTTGTGTCTCAGCGAAACCATATCTATCGATCACGTGATACCCTTTTTTACTAGTAAAATAAAATATGAATGTCATGATGAGACGCTCGACTTCTATACGTGGACATTAAAATCAACAATAATGACGGATATAGAAATTCCCGTTGTTTCTCTTACGGAATTTATGTTTACTTGGTTTGATAAATTTCCAGATAATGTGGCACTGGTAAGTTGTATATCTCCTGAACAGCTTACGTCCATTCTACGGGATCTCGGCCCTCGGATTTGTATTTTATTATCTGGTAAGCAGTGCTAAAATATAGTCAATTATTAATTTGTAATTATGGCTGTTGACATGTCAAGGCGTGTTATTACATGTACCCGTATGGCTGACTTAAGGGTCAGGCGTTAGACCACCGACCTTCGCCCACATTCTAAACCTCGCCCACATTCCAGTTCAAGGACGGCAACCATAATTGATTACCTCTTAATGCAACTTAATTTTTTAAATTAATTTAAAACGTTTGCATCTGGTGTGTTCTTTTATGAACATTCTGATGGCGCCCCCGGTTTGTTTTACTTTAAAATGGGATATAAACAGTATTTTATCAAATCTCGTGTGTACTGATTTTTCTAGTATTATTGTTGATGGTAGCGTTTAAGATCATAGAGGGAGTGAGGAATGGGGTTTAACGTCCATTCGACACAAACTAGGTCATTTTTCATTTCGGGACTATTAAGACAATAGCCATTGACCACAATACTTAGTCTTTTTAAGAAATTGGCTAATCTTGTCTTTCCCTTACTATGAGCATATATCACTTTGATAAACCAAATACATTCATACTGTATTACATTGAACAAAGTCGATTTTTAAAGGGATATTCCGCATTTAATCGACAATACAATCCAACCAGTCTGAACTCTAAATTGGTGTCAAATAGAGAATATGCATGCACGAAAAATACATTCTTAAACAATTTCTTTTCGGACAAAAGAATATTAATTTTAAAAATAATTGATTTTAAAAGAATATATCAACCCTTAGCACTTGATAGTCTCGACTGATGTTAGTTTGATAGTGACACTTATAGGATGCAAAGATAGGAACAAATCGGACAAACTGTCAATAAATTAGTTGTCAATTTAGATGAGTTTACCGAATGCGCACGCATCATGCCTTACACCAGGTAGGTCAGTCAGTGGTTGGGTGTTCAGTAAATAGGAGAGCTTAAAGTAATGATGCGTGATTTGCATTTTTCGGAAAATATCAAATTTCTCACTGCATAATCCACGCTAATATACTAAACAGCAGCAAGCACCCCCCCCCCAAAAAAAAAAACAAAACAAAACAAAAACAAACCGTCAGTACAATTTCAAAATCAGAGAGGCACTTTAATCAAACCATTCTATAAAACGACTTACTAAATGGATCAAAGCAATTTTTTGTGAACAGTATGTTTACACATTAGGGATTAATTCATCACAATTTCAAGACATGACGAGAAGGTTTAGAATCTGTACACAGTCTATACATCAGTATCTGCTGTGTCCACCGCGAGTGTCAATAACAGCAGCGCAGCGTCTGTACATGGAGTGGACCAGACGATTGATGAACGCCATTGGCACCTGGAGCCACACTCGCAGAAAAGCCTGGAGCAATCCATCGGCTGTGTTTGGTCTCGGTTACGAGGTTATTAAGTCTCCTCTGAATCTCGTCCCAAAGATGTTCAATCGGGTTTAAGTCCGGACTAAAGGCTAGCCAGTGCATAACGTTGACACCGTTCTGCAGTAGAAAGTCCCGAGTAACTCGGGCGGTGTGGGAACGGGCGATGTCATGTTGGAAAACGTTGTTTCGATGACGTGCGAAATGTGGTACACTGAAAAAACCCTTGTGTTGGATCTCAACACAAGAACTTGTGTTAAAAATATTTAACACATGTTTGTGTTGTATTGCATTGCAATGACACAAGTTTGTGTTCTTTTCAATGTCTTAACACAAACTTGTGTACATTTATAAAATCTTATGTGGTTTTTTTTTCCATATAATTAATTACGTCGACATTAAAGATAACATTTATTATGTTCCTTTATCACATTATGTTTTTTATTTATTGAGAAAATCTGAATGGGATTGGGGAACTGGATTAGGGATCTGGCCTAGCCTATATGTAAAACCACTCTTCCTGAATTTGAATGTTGAGTAATTCACTTGATTTATTTTTTAATATTTCTAATTATCTAAAAGGATATATTAATTATTACAAACATTAAGTAGAAATCGCAATGTATGTATCGTGCGATGCATTTAATAGCTCTTTTAAAACAACGTATTTTATAACAGTATACTGATATAAGAGATCAAAGTTTTAGTCAATTATTATCTAAATATAAACTATTTATTTAATCAGATATAATAAAAGATTATTCTGATTCTACTCTTTGTTTATTTTCACATCTTGTCTAAGACAATATACAGAGACAGGTTATTACAATGTCTGCATTTGGAAGTGTCTGATTGATATCGCCCCAATAAATTTGACACATCAAAGACAATAACAATTGTGTTATATCTACGTTTTAAAAAAATGTTTGAATGGGCGTGGAAATAGTCGAGTTAATCTTTTTATTTGATTTAATTGGTTCATTAATCGAAATGGAAATTTATTCTTACCTGTAAATGACCAATTAAAATGAATTACTCTTAAAACAAAGAAAGAAATATTTATTGAAGTAATTTTGCGGTATTAAACCCTGTGGTACTGCAAATGTTAACTGTATTATTAAGCATTAGTATCGAAAAAAGTGATATTGTTGTGAAAAAAGTTTGTTCAGAAAATAAGAATATCAGGTTTGTGATTTTGGTATTTTTTAATACAATGTATTTATAACGCAAATTTTTCGTTTCGGTTAAAACAAAATATACGTCCATTTTAATTGGCCGAAGGATGTGTGACTAATAGAAATATGGCGGGCGGACAAACTGACCAAACAGTATATTTCGAGGTATTTGAGGTAAGCTAATTTAATATTATATCATAACTGCATGTGCATAATTGTGTTTCTGTTTGATTAAATATTCAAATAATCATTCTTAGGATACAACCTCGACACCAGTCCGCCCTGAATTGCAATGTTTGTTTTGTGTTCTGGGCGCCATTTTGAATATAATACAATCCAGCGATAGTGTAGTCTAATTCCTTTAAAAGGGAATCCGAATTTGTTAATTTTCTGCAATATCACTTCGGTGGAAGCGGACGTTAAATAAAGCTATTTCACGTACAAAGACCTACAATAAAATCCAGGTGAATTGGGAAAAATATTCATGTATTTTCTTGATGAAGAGTAGCTATTTCAATTTGTAAATGCCCAGTCATCTTAGACAAATAATAATTCCAACTTCAAATCAGTTGTATTTATTCAAATCATACCATGAAGAATTGTATTTTTCCACTTGCATAATAATAAAAACTTGACTTTTATTATTTTATTTCTTCAGGCCAAGAGCATGGAAAATTGGTGATTGCCTTGTATCACTGCTAACTATAAATCACAGGGAGCCTTGGGCAGAAATGATAATATGGTTCTCAGATATGTTACTGTGTACAGACTGAACAGAAAATATTTATACACTTGCTATTACAGTACTGGCCAAATTAATAGCAATTTTTTCTAAAAACGTTGCAGAAGTAACTCACTAAAATTGAAGTATGAATAAAATCATACACCGTGAATATATTGAACTGAATATTCTTACACATAACCATATTGACATCTACTTCACATTGCATGGTTGGTCGACGCAACGCCGTGTATAGATAAAGTTGCGACAACTGTGAAGCCAGGAATTTCATATGACGTCATGCAAACTTATTATCTATTTATATGACCTATTATATTGTTGGATGTCATAGATTTCAGCGAATAAGTGTATATAGGACATAAAACGTACATTTTTTAAACGAAAAGTATAGCTGAACATACTATTATTAGTATTATATAACAAGAAGCGCACATTATTGTTATATAACCTTATTCTATAAGAAAAATCAAAATAAAAGATACACTAGATAAAGGTACTATTAAACCAGGGGCGGATCTAGGAATTTTGAAAAGGGGGGGGGGCGCTGCAAAATGAAGGCATTGACCGCGGAGACGGAGCTTGCCGCTGAGGGGGGGGGGGGGGGGGTCCCAAGAAAAATTATCCGTCATTTCCTTGCATCTGTAGCCATTCCAAGAGCTATTTCCCAGACTGGTGTGTTTGAGTCGATGGTTCGAGTCATTTAGGATCCCTACAACGGGTTGGGAACGGACATATTTGAGTCTGAGAAAAGGCACTTTCAGCCGTAAAAAAGGGCACTGTTGAAAATTAGGGGGGGGGGGGGCGCCCCTCGCACCCCCCATTGAATCCGCCTCTGATTAAACATATTTAACTTGCATTCGCTTTTAAAGGAGCTAAATCGCTAATATTTGGGAACTAGAAATTGTCACAAATGGGTCGCACTAACCTTGATGTTGACAAATACGTAAGACGATATGAACATCAAGGTGATATATGCATATATGCAGCATAGATAATTAAAACTTCTATTCAAGTTAAACCAACTGTATCTATTTATGTCTTACGCTTAGCTGAATACATTTTATGATTTATTGTCATTAAAACATCTATTGGTGGTTAACAGTGTGTAACTAAAAACTAAAATTGGATCTTATTATTGCCAATGATATAATGTACCTTGAATTTTTTATCACGAAGTCTATCGCATCCAGATATTTAAAGCGCGTTTACAATATATTCATTTTTTTGTATCGTAAAATTCATCTTCATTTGACGAACTACACCCAAACTACAGTCAGTGTAAACACGGTTTGGAGACTGTATCTGAACTACAGGGTACATCGAACTACAGTGTACATCATGCTTAAGAGACACTATCTAATATCCAACAGGAAAAATGACGATTAATTTAATATCCGCCAATTGGTGTTGCTGCTATTTTGTATTTTCAAAATTTATCTTCAAATTCAGAGACATCGAAAACCATATAAAAGACATTGCAAAAGTCATATCTTATGTATCTTAAGAGATGCCCTTTTAGTCTACCAAATTTATGTTTTTTTTGTTAAATTGCCTTATACATGTATTACCAGATTCGGTAGCCCTTTTAAAAGAAATGCCCGCCACCACATGGAAAATACATTTCTTTAATTGATGTTTGTCAA